TTCATCAAACACTGCCCCCTCATTATACCCCTCCAGCTTGACAGAAGTCCATTAAACACTGCCCCCTCATTAAACCCCTCCAGCTTGACAGAAGTCTATTAAACACTGCCCCCTCATTACACCCCTCCAGCTTGACAGAAGTCCATCAAACACTGCCCCTCATTAAACCCCTCCAGCTTGACAGAAGTCCATCAAACACTGCCCCCTCATTAAACCCCTCCACCTTGACAGAAGTCCATCAAACACTGTCCCCTCATTAAACCCCTCCAGCTTGACAGAAGTCCATTAAACACTGCCCACTCATTACACCCCTCCAGCATGACAGAAGTCCATAAATGTAGCAACCTTCTTGTACCCCTTTAGCTTGACAGTACTATGTCAAGCACAGCCCAATTTTTTACCTCTCCATGAGGACATATTTACAGCCCCTTAGTGTACCCCTAAAGCTTGTGAGTACTCTGCCAACATAGTCCTTTTTCTTGTAATCCTTTAGCTGGCGAGTACTATTGTCAACATAGTCCCCTTATTGTACCCCTTTAGCTGGCGAGTGCTCTTGTCAACATAGTCCTTGTATGGTACCCCTTAAGCTGGCAAGTGCTGTCAACATAGTCCCCATATTGTACCCCTTCAGCTGGTGAGTTCTCTTGTCAACATAGTGGCCTTATTGTACCCCTTTAGCTGTCGAGTACTCTTGTCAACATAGTCCTCGTATGGTACCCCTTAAGCTGGCAAGTGCTGTCAACATAGTCCCCATATTGTACCCCTTCAGCTGGCTAGTGCTGTCAACAAAGTCCCAATATTGTACCCCTTCAGCTGGCTAGTGCTGTCAACATGGTCCCCATATTGTACCCCTCCAGCTGGCTAGACCTGTCAACATAGTCCCCATATTGTACCCCTCCAGCTATTGTGACTCCCTTCCTTCCTATCCAACCTCATAACTAGACAGTGCTGTTAGTTCCTCACTAAGGGATGTTGAACTGTCAGAAATCATCCGTGTAGGTAACAGTCTGACATACAGTTAAAGGAACCCTGACAATTTTATAGACTACAGTATATACACAGTACAAGATATGATATCATTAGTTAGTCACTGTCACCTTTATGAACAGTAACTTGTAATGTGCCAAGCTGATTAAGGTAAAGACAGGGTTGTCTCCCTTGACTTTTTATACACTTTTAAGAGAACAGAAGCTAGGTGTGTTAGGGAACACAATATCTTAGTATCACAATAATATCTCCCTCCTCCCCGCCACTGGTGTAGACTAAAAGTGATCAAATTGATACTGATTATTATATCACAATAATGCTTCCCTCCTCTCCATCACATGACACTGTTTGGTCTGACTAATAGTCACATCTTTATGTTCTACTATTTCCAACAATTAAAGCTGTATGTTATTAGTGGCTACTATAAATCATGTAAAAAATCACTTTTTCATGGCGTACCAGACTTCCTACGTTAGTTGTGTTCGCGAAATCAACTTAATATACAAGTATTCTGTAACTCGAGGTTCTATGAATTTGTGGAATAAGAACATACAGAAAAATCAATGATCTTAGTGTAATATCACTTTGTTTCCAACATATTCCAACACCATCTTCCCAACTTCATGGAAAATTTTTATAACACTAGGTACTTTCATATTTCATGATCTTAACACATTTGACCCTTGCAACCTTGAAATAGGGTCAAAGTCATCCATGTGAAAACTGAATTTTGAAAAGACTTCATTTTTGACTCCAGGTTTCAAGATTTAAGCTTGTCTACATCTCAGTACCAAAAATTTTTCAATCCCTTCATTTTTTAGGAAGTTTCTTTTTTGAATAAAATGCTTAATTTGTTTTGGTTAGTATTTTGCTGTTGTTTGTCACCCCGTAAACAGTCTGGGTCATTCAAGGGCAGGATATCCTTGTAGTAGCTGGAGGCTACCTCACTAAATAACATACAGGAGGCCCATCACATGCTGTCCACAACAATCTGGGTAAAGTGTTTTGCCCAAGGACACCACCACATCAGCACAAAAACGGTCTATTACTCAGTTTTCTGAGAGACACAGACCACTATGGGGCGTGTTTACCTGAGGTTCAATTGGCCAATGCTCTAACTGACTGAGCTCTCAGAGCTTCCTTAAATAGTTAAAAAAGTTTTACAAATAATTCACATCCAAGTGGAAAGAAGAAATTTGATGTTTAGTTTATATATGTTCAATGACAAGCCTCCCTCCCCACCCCTCTCCAAAAAAAAAAAAAAAAAAATTGGAAGCTACTTATTTCTGATTAAAAATCTGTATAAATATCTAAACCACTTTAGTAAAACACATCGATTGAAATATTTTTTTATCTTAACATCACCCAAACCTGTATAAATCACAAATCTATTACAGCATATACAGGTATTACAACTGGTAGTTTTCCTTTTTCATAATTCAAATCAAGAATGTGAAAAATGTAATGCCGATTTTCTTTTCATTTACTCGGTTCCAGATATTATGTCATGACCATGCAAATTATGAATAAAGCCTGGTTCCCAACTGTGAGACAGTTTAAGAAATTAAACTGCTCACGACAAAATATCAAATTATTGATGGTTGAACCTAACACCCTCGTCATTGTGCCAATGCTAACCCAGTTCCAATTTATAGACCACCCAATAGTAACCACATAACCACATATTACCGGATTTAACCTGTTATAAACCCTGGGACCTCCCAATAGTTACCTCATAACCACATATTACCATATTTAACCTGTTATAAACCCTGGGACCTCCCAATAGTTACCACATAACCATCATATTACCGGATTTAACCTGTTATAAACCCTGGGACCTCCCAATAGTTACCACATAACCATCATATTACCAGATTTAACCTGTTATAAACCCTGGGACCTCCCAATAGTTACCTCATAACCACATATTACCATATTTAACCTGTTATAAACCCTGGGACCTCCCAATAATTACCACATAACCATCATATTACCAGATTTAACCTGTTATAAACCCTGGGACTAGATTTAACTTGTAAACCCCTGTGACACCCAGTAATTACCACATACCCATGTACATTTTACCAAATTTAATCTGTTGTAATTAGTAAAAACTGAAAACCAGAATTTTATTCTACTGGTATCTGACTTCACAAGCAGAAAAGCTTATATCAAAATATACGGCCATTAGCCACACAACATAATCAGAGGCAAAACTTGATACATCAGTAGCAAGAAAAGTTGCTAAGGGTTGCTGAGTTGGTAAGGAATCACTCCACGTTTTCTTTTCTGGTCTATAATCTGATTGCTATATTGTCACACTATCTTCAACCTCAGTGTACATAAGATTAAAGATGAAAAAGTCAGTTAATCCCTTACCATGTCATACACTACGAAGGCGAATGCTAGTTTGCTCCTCTCTGGAGACAAATGTCTGATGAATGTGACCATGTTGTCATCAAAATGTCACACTCGAATCTTCTACGGGTTGTGTTATAAGAATTTTTATTCTATTAACATTACAGATCTGAAGAAAATGTTCTGACAAATATTTCAGTGTTAGAACAGACAGTGAAGGAAGAAGACTTTCTGGCACTACCTTGCTGTAGTTTCATTTTAATCTAGAGATTTTTATTAAATTTTTTTGAAGGATCATGTCCACCATAAAACTGTTAAACTACAAAGCAGGTTACTTTTTGTTGGCTGAAATATTTTTGATTTAGACTTAAATGTTATATATACAACATGTGGATGGCACACGGTACAGAGTTACCAACTGTGGAGGAAGGGAAATAACTCTTGTTATCACTGAAACTCCTAGTGATGAGATGATAAAGTCTAAGGTCGCTTTCGTATAAAAGTTGAAACTGTTGGACTGGTTGAACTTGCAAGAATAATGCCAGGTACAGATCAACACCAAAGCTTGACTAGGGGATATTTAGCACATGCAGTTTGAGGAGTTCAGCCACGTCTGTCCAAAACTAGCTTGCTGAATATCATTTGTTTTCAAAATTTCAGCACAAAACAGGGTCCTGGTTCGTTCACATATTTTTGGAAACATTATGCTATTAAGTATACGTAAAATGGATTGTATCATATCATCAGTTTATTGTTTTATGCCTGACAGGAAATTCCAAAACCTTGCATTTTCAGCTTTACATATATCAGCTCCAACATCTGGTACAAGTGTGTTTGTGTATAGTGGAATAATTCCAGGACCACCTGTATGGTTTCAACTGAGTTATGCTAAAGAAGCCTAACATGGCACACTTAAAACTGACAAACAGTTTTCATATATTTTGTATGAGACAGAATAGATTTTGAGGTAAATTACTGATTAACTCAACAACATTCTTTCATAAATACCAGTGATTAATCAACAGAAGACAGAAGCCAAAAAGCAGTGGAATTCTTGTGATGAATTCAATTAATTAACAAACAAGATAATTTGGAAGGTATGTCTATTAATGTGCAGATATATGTTCATGAGACATTTGAAAAAATATAAAATGATTAATATATCTATTTCAAGCATAAATTCAAGTTATTTTCAAGCCACATCTGATCTGTACTACCCTGTTTTTATCTAATAAGAACACACTTGCTACTACATAGGAACAGATACATATTATGGCTTGTTTTCATGAACATTGCATAGTTCTTATGATCACACTATTGTTATTTAAATGAATGACTTTCAAATAAGTTAGAAAATATCCTTCCAATATAAATATATGGCTATGTAGTTTAACATGCATTCTAAACCAAATTTCACTGAAGATGCCAAAAAATTTCCCTTTTATTTGTGTTAATGTTTAACACAGCTGATCTTAAACTTTCAAAAAAAAAAAAAAAAAAAATAAGGATAGAAATAATAAAAAAAATTAAAATATGGCAGCTAATCTAGTGGAGTCAATTTATAAAATATTGACAAGTAAATCTACAGTCAAACAATCACATGTTTATCCTATAGATGAAGTTACTTCTGAATGTAATCCTTCGTAACCTACCATGCCCAGTGATGCTGTGAGTCTTGATGTTCTTCAGTCTTCTAAAGGCACTAACCCAGGTCCTTCCATCTGTTCCTCCATGTCATCCAAATCTGGGACCATGGCCTCAATCTGCTTCTTCTTCTGAATCTCCATTCCCTCTGTCACACAAGAAGAACAATCAAAGTTGAAAAATTGTAAAAATTCAAGAACCAGTATACATAGAACGGAATAATAAATTCTGTAATTTGTAAGCTTGAATTGTCCGTACAAAACTGAACAGTATTATTATTACCAGCTATCCTAGGAGTCAATATACTACAGAAGTATTAACATATAGACAAATCATTAGAAACCCCTTAAATGACAGCCTCACTCTGGTCAGTGAGTGAGTGCCTAGGCCATTCCCTCTACAATTTGACCAGTTGGACCAGGGTTTGCTGTTTATGAACTAAGGACAGTCCTACTGAATTTATTTTTCTTTTTGGTAACCCTCGACTAGGCCTTTAATGGCATCTAGTAATATTTGCAAGCCTTACCCAATTTGATCTGAAATATTACATTCAAAGTGCTGGAAAAATGGTTTCGTCCCCATAAACCAACACATATGTGTTAAGGGAGGTAATCCCAATAACATTCAATTCTGAACAGAATCGCATGCTTCAATGGAGCTAGCTGCTTCCTAATTCTTACCATCTGGTCGATTTTCCACCGGTAATCCAAGAGTAGGTAACTCCGACATTCCATTGGGATAAGACAGAGAATCTGCCTCTTTCCGTTTGTGTTTCTGTTTACCGAACTGACTACCAATCAATGTCTCTGTATCATCACTAGTGTCAATGTGTCCATTCTCCATCACAGTTTTACTTGTGGCCGAGATCTTGGTCTTCTTTTCCTTTCGCGGTGAAGGTGCCATATTCACTAAAACATAAACAAAGTAATGAAAAACACCTTGCCCCTGATGGGGTTCGAACTAGTGACCCTCAGTCTCTAGCCGCAGTAGCTAGACACTCTACCACTTGATGTACGGGAAATTCCTACTTGCAGTGGCTTGTAAGGTGACTTGTACAATCAAATTCCACAGTTAGACAACTGACAAACCTGTCATTCTTTCAATAACAAGTGATAAAATGACACTTCTAGTCATTTCTACTTTTCTTCTTTTCACTGTTAATAACTTCTGGGACAATGCTATTTATAGTGGAGCCAAATGATTAAATGTTAAACTTAACCTGAGTACTTAAGTATAAGTTACATGGGTAAAGTTTGTGTACATGCCCTTTACAAATCTGCCTCTCGTCAATCATTGTACAAGAGATGAAGTATGTTACTTGCCGTGTTGGGTACCGTGTCAACAAATAGCTCCCCATCCCCCATCCCCATCCCCCCACCTTCATCACCAACAAACCCTGCCCCATAGCTTATCATATGGGATATTTGATACACTACCAGCCGAGATTATATACATGCCCTTTACAAACCTGCCTCTCCTCAATCACCATATGAGTGATGAAACATGTTACTTGCTGTTTTTGGTATCTCCCGTCCCCCTCCTTCCCCGCCCCCTTTCTCCCCCGCCCCCTAGCTTGTCACACCAGAGATTTGATGTACTACCTGCTGTATTTGTAGGCATGCCCTCCACAAGTCTTGCACCCTTTCCTAACTTGTCACACATAAGAGCAATGTGTTTCTTGACTTTGTTGGTGTCCTCCGGCATTTGTAACGGCTGAGGATTTAAAGTCTGGTCTTTGGCAGACTTTGCTAACGTTGTACGAAGGAGGTGTGTCACGGATGCATCAACAGACTCCTCCCAGCCCTGAGGGGATAAAGTTTACAGATAAAAAGGATGCTGTGCAGAGTCAAACGTACTTACTATAAAGATTCTTGACATTAACTACTAGTAGATATATGTCTCCAAAACATCACATTTTTTGCCCCTTTTCAACCTTTCTGCTACAGTTCATTCAACCTTTTATGTGCTTGTCATGTTGACAACATTTCTCTAAACATCTCAAGATGAAATAAATTAAATCACAGGAGTATCTATCTACATATACAACAAAAAAAGTACTGAATACCTGTGAAAAAGTCAATATAGGGTTTCAAATATGGACCTGGGTATTTAAAGATAACCTCATTTAATTGACGTACAGAATACTACAGTATTATTATTATATACATCAAAGTAATTTCATTATAACTGGTACAAAAAATGCATAAAATTTGGAAATGAATCGTAAAATGTTAAATCAATATACTTCAAATACAATACAGCTTGATCTCACTGTAATAAATTCTTTAAGAAAAGTCTTTTAAAATTAAAATTTGTCAAGATAAAAAAGCAAAGAGCAATTAATTTTGAAATCTGTAAAATCAAAATCCTATTTAGGAAAACACAAACTGAATGTGATGGCTATTGGGTATTGGTTTAAATATGTAAGTAATATTACATGAATGTGTGTATTTGCATGTAATTTAAAAAAAAGTCTAGACAGGCTTGAATGATGTGAGTGAATGATGAAAACTCAACCCCCCCCCCCTTACCTGTGTGAGGAATAGTTTTGTAATGTTATACATGTTTTTATCAATAAAATGAGGGACTTATGGACAGATGACAGCTGGACAGACAATGCCATATGATAACAGGGTACTTACCTGGTCCTGAGAACTGGGTACAATTGGAGTGATGGTCTGTTGTAGAACTTTAAACTCGTCATCAGACATACTGGTCCAAAGTCGTATGAGGAGGTTGAAAAGGTGTGTCCCACAGTTGAGGGAGTTTGCAGCCATATCTTGTGATTTACTGTTGTCTTCAACGGCATCCGCCAGATGTAACAACTACAGGTGGAAACAGAAATCAGGATAGCAGAAATAACTACAGATATAATAGAAACTAACACAGAACACAGGAAGAAAATAGATGAACATACTGGTAGTGTGATTAATAAGTTAGTAGATTATATTAATCTCCTTTACCTATCTATCATGGCCTATTTCAGTATAAACACTTACAAGAACCCTGGACTTTAAACAGAAATCATTATCACCAATGGTTAACTCTACTCTTTATTCCTTCTAATCAAGTCATCAACAGAAACGAAGTGAGTAGAGGCTCATATAGATATAACCCCCGACCCTTCACCTTTCACTTCCAACCTAAATCTGTTGTTAATTTATTAAGGGGTTCATGAAATATCTTGTACACAAGCAGCTTTTTCTTCAAAAGATGGTCAGCAATGACCTTTGAATTCTGACCTTGACCATCAAAATCTGATCAGGTGTTGACCTTGGTGGGTAATGCTATTGTGTGATTATGTTCTAAATCTGTCCATGTTCAGGATATCTTTTACAAAAGCTTTTACTTTAAAAGTGGTCAAGAGTGACCTTTGACCTTTTCCCTTTACCAATACTCACAAAATTCTAATCAGTGTAGACCCTGGTTGGGTGTTGCTATGGTGTGAATATGAACTTAAGCTGATCATGGGTTCATGAGATATTTTGTACACAAGGTTATCATGTATTCACTCATGCATAGACAAAGTGATAACAGTATACTACTTTATATAAGTATATAATTCAATTCTATACATGTAAGTAGGGTTATCATTCAATTCTATGTGATACCATAAACAAAACCAGGGTTAGGTTAGATGTATTACTGTCTGGTAGCTCTAAAAAGAAGATATTTCTTTTTTTCCTTTATTCAACAATAAAATAGGCCAAGGTTTTTACAACATTAACAATATTATATTCTTTTTTAATTTGTAGTTACCATGAATTTATGTCAACAAAATGATAAACAGATTTAGGTTGACATGGATTATAGTACTTCTGGATTTATGAGCAATATTTATCCATAAAATTCAAAAAAACATTTAGAGGTATAATGCAGTCATTCTGGGTGACAAATCAATTCGTTTATAAGTACTTATATATCTACAATTACAATATTTAAAATCTGATGTTTTTTATCAGTCCCTTGAAACAGCAAGGAAAGTCAGTTTAAATGGCTGCTACCTACCTGTCTGTAGGTTCCTTCTAACAAGGTATCTAGGTTGCCAAGAGGGGCTGGGGTTTTATCTTTGAATCGCGTTAGAAGTCGACGCTGTATTGCACGGAATTGTGACGCTCGTTGAGCCAGCATCTCACTACATCGCTTTGCATTCAGGCGATGCTGGAAAAATAAGTAAACACAACATGTACCTTTGCACAACAAATTTAATTCTTAACAAAATTCAGAGAGAATAAATTAAATCACCTGATCAATTAGGAGTGAAATATGAAACTTACTTGAATTACCAGACCAATGTAATGATAACCTCTTGATAAGCTCTTAACATATACATCAGTCATTCCTTCAATGTTTGATACAGAATAGAAATCTCACTTTTAAAATCAAGTCTTAGATTTAGATACTTTGTAAACATACACAACCTAAACAAAAGGAAAAGAGAAAGAAAAATCTTCACATGAAGGAAAATGGAAGAAAATTTGATAAATTAAATTGTGCATTTAATTTGGTTTCTTAAAATTTGGACTGCACTCTGATGGTTATATGATGTATTTGGTACAGTTATAATGTGCTGTCAATCTATGTCATACTTACCTCAAAATGGCTGTCAATGAGGTCAAAGTATTCCTGTAGGGGGAGCTGTGAGGAGTAGTACATTGAGTAACCACCGACCTTGCCCTTATTAAAGTGGTTGTTAAGGCGACCGACCATCTCCTTGGTAACCAACCATAAGCCTTCAAACTTGTCACACTGTAGTCTGTAGCGCTCTGATGGCAAAAGAAAGATGGAATTCTGTTACACTTAATTTTTATTTGATTGCAATAAATTTTGCATTATTTTGAAAATCTTTTAAATTTGAATAGATCATCGTGTTCATCACTGTAAACAGCATCTTCCAACATCACTGAAATGTTTTAATCTCAGCAACATATTTACATTTTCTGTGAAAGCCATTCCAGTCCCTGAGAGAAATGCACTATAAACTTAAATATCTAATGTGTGGTCATCATAGCATATGGTTATTGTTGGTGACAATAAAATCATTGCTCTTCCACTAGATGAATTACACTGCTAATGAAAAATGATTTATCCTATCTAATAAATCAAGATAGGATCTATATAAGATAAAGACAGGTCATCAGTCTGATTCAATTTGAATAAATTATTCAATGATTCGCTTTTTCCTAATGGAATATTGTTGATGAATGTTAGAACTCTGCCCCTATAACAAGTGAGGGAAATAAGCGACATCTTGGTTGGCATTCGATCTGCTGTAGAATCATATTCATTTCACATATATATGTATGTTGCAAACAGATTGTAAAGTAAATGCTAGTATTGATTTGACTTGTCATGGCTTTTACGGTTGTTATAAAAGACAGATGATAGGTTTTACTGGCGAACACACTATATTGCGAGTAAGATGTTACATTTAATATAACAGATAAAAACAGGCTCTGCTCACAGCAGATTTAAAACAGACTATAAATACATTAAATTGTTATATTTCAACAATTTGTGGACTTCAGAAGGAAAAAAATACTTACGTGAGGTTTTAGAGGCGAGTACTGTAACAATAGGCCCACCATAATACTGGAAGCCTAAAGCAGCTCCCTGTCCCCCTGCATTCTCTCCTGCTAAATCTACAAACAAAATATTCAGAAATGAAATACACAGATCCTTTTTAAATTAAAAATACTGATAAGAGATATAAGTTTCTAGAAGGTTTGGTTTATTTCAAAATTGTCTGGGAAGTTAGAAAGAGGGTTGTATTAAACGGAAAAAAGAATCTCAGAGGTTGTTTGGACAATTCCCACGAATTGAAAACATTTTGTGCTTTAGCTGTGCGTTTGTTTAAATATCAAAATATATCTCAGCAATAGGCAGACTGAAGTGTTGACTTGGAAAGTATCATGGAAGTCAGCCAGATCATTATCAATAAGTACAAATTTTAAATCAGCATGTTTGTTGACCTTTACCTGAGAAAATGTCTAAAAGATTTGCAGGAGGTTTGTTTGAATCTAGAGTAATCTTGTGTTCAGCATTCTTTACTGGTAAAACTGGCTTCACTACTAGTCTGATGGGGAGCTTGACTTTCCCTGTGGCTATTCTTGGTGCTCCTGTAACAAACACATACAGCTGAATGATCTCCTTTGGTTCATATTTTGTCCTCATTTTACTGGATTTGAGTTTGAATTCTGAATATGTTGACAATTTGTTGTTTTCTGTAGAGTTGATTACAGTGTTATATTTTAATCCTTTTCTTTCCGTCTTTTGGAAAAATTGAAGATTTGACGTGCATATAGCCTACCTTTTGATGTCTCCTGAAAAGAACTTCCTTCATACATATTAACGATTGTATAGGCAAACTGTGTAATACTATATATTTTTTCCTGTTGACTCAACAGTCCAAATCAAACCAAATCATGGATTCCTCTTACCTGAAGCACTGATATAATTTGCGGATATTGTCGCCGTTAATGTGGTAGGGAGTCCTTTTCCCTGAACAAAGAATGACACAAAATGTTCCGAGGGTTTATTGGGATCTGAAATTAACAAAAATGAGATTATAACATTGTATTCCTGGCTCATGATTATCATGATGTTATACTCCACTCCTTCGGTCCTAGCTATGGCCCAGTTGTAACATTAATTTAAATACATAATCAAAGATACTGCAATAAATAAAGAAAATAATTCAAAGTTCTCTCTCTATCACTAAGAGTCTTTATTAGAGCAAGAAAAGAAACAATAAAACAGAAAAAACTATAGCTGTCATCCTGGGCCAACTCATACCTATTATGCAGCTAGTACATTGTTGCATCTACAGACGGATGAACGGACAAACAAACAGATGGACAGACAACCTTATTACAGTATACCTTCCTAAATTCACTACAGTGGGGTTTACTTAACTTTCACTGATTTTAAAGTTTCAGTTATTTGAGCCCTGAACTCATGCTTTTTCAGCGGGACTCACTAAAATTTTGAGCATCCATTACATCTCTTTGCAACTTGACTCATCAAACTTTTGGAAATTGTGCTATGGGCTCATCAGAGGAAAGTCTATGAAAATTGCGGTCAGAAATATTCACCTTTACTTCCGTGTTTGTGCTTATGGTATTCTGTGACGTGAAACCAGGCTAACATCTTGTTATATAAATCGAATGATTTTCCAAGAACAACTTACCAACATCTGATACCTCAAATGTCTGGGAATTGGTGGCCAAAGGGAAGTCTACATGTACTACCACTTTTATCTTCTCCAGAAGTAGTCGTGACTTAAGCTGGACCTGTAGTATAAAATATAAAAAATATATGACTACATCATGAGATATGTCATTATAGTTACAGGCATGTTCCTATTTTTGCTCTCAACTCTTCACTACATATTCTTAAGAAGTTCTTTTCTTCACTATCTATGTTATCTAAGTCTGTTCCATAATTTCCCCAATCAATATGCAGTACTTGGGAAGTCAGTGTCAAAAGCAAGCAAACATTATCTTGAAAAGGAAAGGCATATGTATATATAGCACAAAAGCAAAAAAATTCTATTTGCCTACCCTGATTTTTTTCAGGCAGAAATTGGAAGATTACTACGGTCTTTGTTCCAATGTTTGTACATAACCTTAAAAATATCTGGAATGACTGCTTGGTGTCTTAAAAAAAATTAATTAAAGGACAACTAAAATTATTAAACATTTCTAAAACTAGTGTGTAACCCTGAATACAAATAACACTTACTCTAACTGTGATAGATGGTACTCCTTCAGCATCATCATATTCCATACCTGTGGCAACCTGCAAAACACAATAGGATCTTAAGGACATTCTCCGTAGCAGAAATAAGTTACAGTACACAATAGGGCCTTAAGGACATTCTCTACAGCAGAAATAACTTACAAAACACAATAGGGTCTTAAGGACATTCTCCATAGCAGAAATAACTTACAAAACACAATAGGGTCTTAAGGACATTCTCTACAGCAGAAATAACTTACAAAACACAATAGGGTCTTAAGGACATTCTCCATAGCAGAAATAACTTACAAAACACAATAGGGTCTTAAGGACATTCTCTACAGCAGAAATAACTTACAAAACACAATAGAGTTAATATATATCTTCTCTATACCACCGATAGATAAAAATATTCTATAAATTTTATAAATTTTCACCAGTAAATTTTATTGATGAGGAATTTGTTTATATTCAGATGGGAAAATGTACCACTTTGGGGATACAACTCTTTTCTGTAGTAAATTTTGTCCAGATTGATCTAGGAGTTTTACAGACTAAAACAATCCTAGAATGAATTACAGGTATTTTGATGGTAGTAACTTACTGATATCTCGTCTAGACTAGAGTTGACCTGACATGAAATTGTGAGGTCATCTTCTTGCTTAACATTTGGCACAATCACTGCAACACAAAATAATTCATTCTATTAGTGCCATGGAGAATATTATAGTAGTAAAATATTGAAATACAAATAATTCATTAAACGTAAAAACCACACAAACTTAATTTTCTAACCCTTAAATTAAAACAAAAGAATGTAAGAGGATCTCTGTATAGACAAATTATACAGATAATTGTTTATCAACACTTAAATCACCTATCAACCCTGAATTCAAGAACCTTCATCAAAACCTTTTTTCTTTAATTTGCAAAACTTATTTCTGTTTTGTTCTTTGATACCATACTATGCAGATTTTTTTTATAACTTCACTTACAACAAAGGGCATCTATATCAATTTTTTTCAGCAAACATGTCAAACCGCCATAAATCTTACACTAAAATTTGCTTAATATTTTTACCCGATTTGTTTGCAAGTTGTTTGATTTTTCTCTGCAGCAGGGCCATTTCTCGGTCCATATCGGGGTAGTTCAGTTCTCGTGCCTCAGTAGTCGGAGGAATAAACAGTGCAGGGTCTGTCCCCAGGTAAGAGCACTCCAATCTTCCGTCATCACTCAGTGTCACAATCACACCTTTCAGGTCTCTGTAACATATTCAAATCTCTAACACATTACTATGACTCTATAACCAAATTCTTCCTGCATTCATCAAAAAATAGGTTTTTAATCAGATAGTCAAAATGCTATACATGAACGATCAGTTTCCTTGATATACACCATAATCCCATATTTTTTTCATAAAGAAACCTTTTGTTGTCTTGACTAAGTATCACAAAAATTAGAATTAACTACTTACAAGTCATGAGTTTAATTTAGATATTAAGCTTCTTCTATCTTTCATAATATCAGGTGTCCATTTATAAATATGTTGATTAGTTTCAGAGAAATGGCGAGGATACTGAGCTTTGGAAGGTTATATAAATTCTGTGTTTCATGTAGGTAAAGTGAACATGTTAAATTTAAAATACTTACGAAAATGTGCCGACACACACTTGTGTTGGTATGTTGTCAAGCTTGGCGGCCCATTTCAGTGTACAGTCCTGGTACACCATTAAGGACTTGGTGTGTGAACCCACCAGATAATTAACACCTCCATCACTGACTGTATACAAACAGAACCATCCATTATGCTAAACCAACCTTATGGCTTATACAATCTACTATCACAATTTTTGTTACAGGACCAATGACAATTGATAATCTGACAATAATTTTTTATTGTGTTGACTTAAAGTACAAGTACAGTCACTCTTGCAAAAAAAAAAAAAAAAAATCAAGCTTGTTGTTATGTGGAAATCATGAAAATTGACAGTCCCAAATGAAGGAGGGTTTAAACCTCAACATACAATTATGTTGAGAACATAAGAAGTATGTTAATTATTTAATCTATGATTATACATAGGCCAGTTAAGTAAAATTTCTTAATCAGAGTGTGTAGAGGACAACTTCATATCAAACTTCTCAAACTATACAAATACTTTTGATATTATTGACAAGTGAAAATATACATCTGGTCTTATTTGCCTCATACTTTTTCAGGAGTCTTTGTGTAAAGCTTTATTTTGTTCCTATTTTGCCCTAGTGTTATTGACTTCGAGTTTGGACTATGATTATGTTAACATGTTGGTATTTCCTTTTTTTTTATTTTTTATTTTTTTTTTGAGTTTAGGATACCACGCAGTCATTTTGTAGCTAAATAGGAGTATCTTCAGTATGCTACATCGTACCTCTGAGTTGAACGGCTCAAAACATTTAATAACATTTAATATCAATTTTCTTATTCATAAAATGATAAATTTAAATGTCCAGGATCCTAACTCTTCAACAAATATTAAGCTTAATTCAGCTTGCCTTGTATAAGTTAAAGCTTACCTGAAGCATAGGGAAGGAAACAACTGGGGTCACACTCCATCTTCTTCATAAATCTAAGTTTACCAGTTTCTGTTAAACAAAATATATTCCTTTCTCCTGAAAAACAAAACACACCTGCATTGTAAAAAACAATATTTGCATTTGATTTTTTGAAATTCCTAACTAAAACTAATATCAAATAAAAAACTCCTTATGGAGAGGGAGAGAACCTACGTCCTAGTTGTCTGGCCGTCGATCGGATCATGAAGAAATCAAAGATGGATACCCAATGGTATTCGATAGAGCCCCATCAAGGAAGGTAAATACTGATGACACGGAAGACAGAGCATCAACATTTGGATTCTGTGGTTTCATTATAAGTTGACATGGTTTGGCTAATTAGGCTAGCCATCATCAGAACAACAGTAAAAATAAAATTAATATTGTTTGTCATGTTTATTGCTGGAACTGATTATAGACTTACCTAAAATTAATATTGTTTGTCATGTTTATTGCTGGAAATGACACTTTAGACATCCCTAAAACTAATATTGTTTGTCATGTATATTGCTGGAACTGACTTTAGACTTACCTAAAACTAATATTGTTTGTCATGTATATTGCTGGAACTGACTATAGACTTACCTAAAACTAATATAGTTTGTGGAGCATTTTGTTGGAATTGTGTCACAAAGATGTCCACTGCCTGTTCACCAATATTAAAACACCAGTCATACTGTAAAAAACAATTTACATGGAAATTATATAAAGTGTTGGAACTCAAAACAAAAATACTTTTAATCTTTAAGAGAACATTGAATTAAAAGATGTTTGAAACAACATAAAACCTGAAAACTGTTGGTGTTGAAAGCTCATTAATATCACATTCCCTGGTAACACTAATATATCTTTACATCTCATACCAAACTACATTGTTAAGATTAGACCTCATACTTAACTGAAACTCTGAAACAGAAATGTAATCACTCCTTGCAGCGAGAGATGCAGTTTCATTGATCACATATCAAAGTGGAATATATTTCTTAAGATATTGCATTTATTCTTAACCTATTAAAATATACAGTTAAGAAAAAGTTACTTGACAGCATAAATTTGAATATGAAAGCAGTGACTGGATAGCTATTTAGAATAAAAACTATTTTACAGTTTTATACACCTATATCTATTACACTACACACTTCAGTTACATGATAATTTAATCAAACTATAGATTTGGTTCTCAAAAATAATGTTTAGTCACTGATATGGACTGAACATGCTTAAATATATTTTGTTGAAATATTTTTTATCAAACTTCATCAAAGCTCAAAATCAGACTTCAAAAACAGCTATTATATCATCTAGAAGTTGAAAGCAACATCAAGTTAAAAAAAAAATTTTTTTCAATAATTGTAGAGTTTTGTACACTTCCAGTTAAGTTTTAAATGGTTTCAAAGGAATTAATTTCTGTTGTCTCCTCATCAAAGATAATAACCCAAGTCTTTGTTTTTTCTATCTGAGAAGAAATCATTCCAATATATTAAAATAGTTGATCACTATGACCTTACACAAAGAGTACTTTTATCAGGAGAGATAGTATAAAGAAATCACTAAGGCATTGGTCATCATGCAATGAAAGAGAAACAGAACATCACATTCTTAGTAATGACATGCTTTATCAATTAAGGGTTGTAGTAAAAAGACCACAGAGACAGAAATACCCACACTTTGAAGAGTTCAGATTGATCTGACAGGCAAGATCTACTACTTATAGTACTGTGTCTATACACTGTTAATCTAGGTAAAATAATTATCTATATTTATATGGTGTAAATAAAAAACAGTCTAGCTAATAAATTAGGTAGGAGTTAGTAAAAGAATGTTATCAAAATTTGATCCCTTATTTGATACTTTCAAAAAAATAAAACAAATTCTTTTTTCAGTAAACAGAAATGCAGTCTTCCATAGCCATTTAAATATTATCATACTAAGACATACTTAAAAGTTTTCATAACACTGTCACCTTTAATTCTTTAAAATTGTTTATTTTACAGATGTTCAGGAATATAAGATTCTATTCATCATGGTTTTACAAAGTCTATATATATGTAAAAACTAACTATGATGATCATTAAATATAAAATCTACCATTAACAATGTATATCTGTAGGTATGTCACTACATTTAAAATCAGTTAATTTTGCTTAGTTCTAAAAAAAAAATATCTTTTGATGTTACTAGGGATCTTGTCCATTACTATGTTCCTTAATTTTCACTTATTAATGATTAGAAAGGTAGCTGTGATCAAATTCATTCATTGCAATTTAGATAGCTACTTAACATGTGTGAACACATGCATGTATATAGATGACTACAGACTTCAATTCACAAGTTATGGATTCTATTTTTCAATGTTGTGGAAAATAATCTTAACAGTAACTTTAACAGCAATGTATACAAAATAAAACTACTTTCAACTTCACCTATGAAAGACAATTTAACAATCAAAAACTTATAATTTAACAAGAAATTATCAACTGTTTTGGTTGTATTCATATAATCAAGATACAATGTACATAAATTTCATTAAATATAAAACAATTCAACTTAAAATCTGCAAAAAATCCACAGTAATAAGCACATGCCTCAACTTCAACATACATCTAGCCAAGCATGTAGGAGCTAGATTAGCTCGATTATATTAATAACAAATGCACATTAAGTATTTTATAAAGGAAAATTAATGCAAAAAGCAGTTACCAGTCATTCCTAAAACAAAATTAGCACAAAGCAGTACAATGCCAAACAGATTAATCTGTATTGTAAAAATACTGAAGTTGTTAAGTCTTCTACACAGGAATACATAAATCTGTTCTGAACCTTTTAACTGATAGATGTAACTACAGATTTAGTCTTAATTGTCAAAATCAGCTTCTAACACAGTGAAGTTTATTTTTGTTTTAATACCATATCTTAATTGATAACATAAATTCTTTAATATCAGCTTCTAATAAATACAAAATATACAATCAGATTTGTCAGTAACCTAATACAATCTGTCCCTATTAAAGTCCAGATTAATAATAGCAGTATTTGATTGAAGACAGCAACACTACACACAAGTAAAATGCTAGCCATTTCAAATATATTTTACAAAATTAGAAAATAGAAAACAGGAGCAACTGCGAAAGCATAATAAAAAAATTATGAAATCACAATTATTTTAGACATTTAAAGATTCAGGTTAATGATATGTAGAACTATAGAACACTACAGACACTACGCAGCATATAATTATGTTCATACCTCACATACAGTTCCCCGGCCAGATACCTTCAAAAAGCCAATTCATCATGCATAACAAAGCTGTCTACTATAACATACTGTCACTTTCAACAATTTCAGTATGTCCCTGCCCATTATATGATAAAGTGAAAGTAATAAAAAAGTGTTCCTGTGAATGGAGGGTCAATCAAATTTTTCCATTAAATATCCCAAATTGTCATGAAATAACACAGGTGCTTGTCCTTAAATGTTTAATAATCATACGCTGAAAGTTATTTACAGCATGTAAATTGAATATTTTTTCTAAATATTAAGACTTTAAACAGAAACCAATGAATCTGTGTTTTCTTTGATATGGAATAGTCACATGCTATTACAAGCTACAATGGGTTTTATCATAACCTCTATTCTACATAACAGCATTCATCATAGTTACAAAATTTTGAACCGGTGAACGCCATCATCAGTATTACGTACCATTAATGTCCAATTACTGAATTCCCATTCTACAAGTTTTAATATTCTTGGACACTGATTAATACAATATATGCATGCAAAAATAACCTGTATCACCAAAGCATGATGCAACTAATTATCATTGATCTTTATATGTTATATAGAGAAGTCATTTGTTGTACGAGGCCCTGTAATCTGTATATGTAACATGGAGAATACAATGCTTGTACATTGAGGCCCTTTAACCTGTATATATGTAACATAGAGAAGTCATTGATTGTACATTGAGGCCCTTTAATCTGTATATGTTACATACAGAAATAGTTGATTGTAACTGGAGGCCCTTTAACCTGTATATGTAACACAGAGAGAAGTTATAGATTGTTTATCGAGGCCCTTTAACCTGTATATGTTACAAAGAGTAGTCATTGATTGAACAGCAAGGCCCTTTAACCTGTATATTTAACTATTCTGAATCAAAGTTTGATAATTTATAACCGTTTCTCTCACATCTGATTAATCAGTGTTTTGGAATATTACAACAATTTGAATAATATGAGCAAAAAACAGTTAAAATGATAAAAATAAGTAATCTGTTTTTAGTCAGAAAGCAATCCAGTGTTCTATTCACCATCAATATCACAGCTGATGTTACTATTTCTAGATAGTCAGAGAAGGTGCCAAGTTTACATAAACTTATCAAGGTATTTAGTTATACAACCAGTGTGTACTCAAAACTATCAAACCAAACAATGATCACATATCATACACAACAGCAATACAGGGGAGGTTTTAGGAAGTGTTTACATGACAAAAGTTTAGTTGTCAAGAGGAAGAGGTAGGACCATGTATTGCATATAAACAACTAATTTAAGATGTCATCATATTCAAGACACAAATACAGTAGACATAAAACTGGTCATTTTCATTTTTACAAACAAGGCATTTATTACTAAATGCAGTTTTAAATAAAAGAAATTCAACTGACTTGAATTTTGCATATTTTGACAATTTGAAAAGAATTCTAACTGGAGAAAAATGAGAATATTTTTTTCAACAAACTGCAAGCACATGAAATTACCTGATAAAATTGATACAGACCAGGTAACATCTACTACAGATATGTTCTGAAGCGATGATAAAAATTACGAGTGATTTCTGATGATACAGTGATGAACCTCTATTGCTATAATGGTAGACTTACATTCACCCGTTTTCCAGACTTCATGCTTTGAGATTCTTCTTTCGTCTTGGAATCTGTTGCCACGGCTAACACCTGATATCTGTAAAAGGTAAAAGCCATTTCTAACTTCATTTAGAAATTGGTACAAAATCTGGTGTTTCGTTAGTCCCCTTCACTATAAAAGGTACACTGTACAAGCCCGAATCTGCAGAAACTTTGTTACAGGTTAAAACAGATGTAGGATGCCTACAAGTCCTAGAAGGACAAAACAGATGTAGCATGCCTAGGAGTCCTAGAAGGACAAAACATAATGTATGATGCCTTCCAGTCCTTGAAGGACAAAACAGCTGTATGATGCCTTCGAGTCCTTGAAGGACAAAACAGGTGTAGGATGCCTACTAGTCCTTGAAGGACAAAACAGGTGTAGGATGCCTACGAGTCCTAGAAGGACTAAACATATGTATGATGCAGTTTAATTCATTAATAGACACTATTGGATATAACTTGTATTAAAGGTGATATTTTCTTGTGATTTTTGTACAATCCTTGGGTATATGAATCCTAAATTAATACACTTCACATCAACAATGTAAAGATCATAAGTATCTCGAGCCAGCAGGATTTTTTGTAAGAAGAATTCATTCATTTCAAACCCTGTGGCTTTGAAAGTAGATTATTGTCACATATTCCTGGCATATCAACTCTTATGACCAAAGGTTTCTTTGGTATGAAACATATCTTGAAAGGGTACAGCAAATTTGATTCCTGACTCCCTGTGACTTAAAACCTTCTCAAGGTTGAGCTAAATCACAGCCAAGTACACTACAGTAACTTGCCAATGACTAAACCTCTATATTGAAAGTTAATTTTGATGTGTAAATTTCAAATTTCAGTATGTCTTTGTGCATATACATGAACTTCTAAATTTTAAAAAGTAAAACAAAACATTATGCAACAATCAACAGTCTAATTGAAGCCCTTTAAAAGAGAAGTCTCCATCTAATCACCAACTGAATAATTATCATTTCTTTAATAAATCATCAGATTGGATATTCTACAAACACATTAAAGATAGTTAGACTGGGAAGTCCATATTTAATCAAGCAATTGACCCTTTTTACATTTTTTGTAACATAAGTGCTGCCATATTTTGCAGAAATTTTCTTAAATGATCTGAGCATAATTCTAGTTTTCTTAAAGTTTAAAATACCAAAGTGTCAGAAGTTAATTCTAGTAAGTATAATAGGATTAAGGTGCTACACAATTATGTGTGTTTGGATACTTACTTGTAACATTCTAACTGCCAGGACGATGAGGCTGTGACAAAACTGTCCAGTTTAGAAATGTATTTGATCGGTCCAGGTAACAGTGCTCCTGGTAGGAACCGACTAAACGAGAAACTTTCCTGCTCAAAAATGGACACTGTTCCATCCATGGATTGCACACATATAAAGTCTTTTCCTAAATTGAAATACAAAATTGAAAGTACAAAATATGTGAAAACAAAAATTGTTATGGTATATATCATACTGCTGTAAAATGGTTTTCTAGAAATCAATTTGTGAAGCAATTCAATCAAAATTCAAATATATTAAATTTTTCAATAAAAATATGAAGTTTTGAGTGATTTGTAGTTCCTTATGATGTCTAAAACAACATTAACAAAGTTAATCAAGTACAATGACCAGCTTGCTAACTACTAAAAGTTTACATTTGAAAGTTCTTTGATAAAAGAATTCATACCTCTCACTGATCCAAACGGACCATAACAGAGATTAAAAGCAGCTCTCTGTAGATTATGCTCATAGGTTTTCTTCAGTTGATACTGACGGCCATGGTCTACAGCCCCTGTCATTACTACAATAAAAAATAAGTTAACATCACATTATCTTATTAGATAACTTTAACATTACACTCAAAATATACAGAGCTTTACACAGGAGAAGATAAACACTCACCATAGTTCAAATTATCCTCTCAATGAGATATCATATCATGGGCTATTTTATGTTCAAGAATTTCAGCGTCAGTGTTATTTATCAATCTCTACCTAACTTCTCGTTTCTTCATTGACGTGTCTAGTCAAATTAATTGATATGAAGTACTTGCAGGATTTTTTTATAGGGCAATAAGCCATCAACTAAGTAACAGAAGTCAAGGTCAGTATTAATTTCAATACATCCTCTAACTACCAAACTTTTGACCCCATTTTACCAGTCATATGCTCCATCGATCAAGATAAAGAAAAGTGCTCAATAGCCAAAAGGCATAAAAATATTACAACCAGTGTTTACAAGGGATAAAACTTCACCTCCAGGAAAGAGCTCATCATGGAGTTTTCCAGGGTAAAAGTGGTGCTTGCCTTGTGAAGCAGAGACTAAATAATTCTGTCAACACCTCCATTTCCCTTCATGGGTGACAAATTGATGCCAATGTAACAGAGGTCAGTTTTCATTTGAATGTCTTTGCTAGGATTCGAACCCAGAACCTCTGACTTATCTACTGAGTTTACCTTCAACTAATAAAGCTCAAGAAAGGTTCTCTCTGGTCAAATGGTATACTGTGCCTTGTATTTACCAGGGAAACATTCTTCTGACCAAGTGGTACATTGGGACTAGTATTTACTAAGGAAAGATTCTTCTTTGTGGTATATTGTGACTAATCATTACAAGCCTAGAGTTTAACATTCTATCGAGTCAAGCGGGACATTGTGACTAGTATAAGTGAGATATTCTCTCTAGTCCGGTTGTATACTAAGGCTAGTACTTACCTGGGCAATATTCATTCTCCTTACCTGAAACACTATACACTGCTAACTTTCTTGAATGTAGAACAGCTAAGTGGAGAAGATCAGATCCCCTATAACATAAAACAATTAGTTGTGTTATTTCCAAATAAACTAGAAAAAACACCTTTACTCAGAATATCAGACACAGCTTATTTCAAACAATTTTGAGGAAATGTCATACTTTCCTAAAACAATATTTATTGAAAAATTAGCCACAGTGAGAAAATATGTGAATGTCAATCAATGTATTTAGAATAACTATCCATAATATCTTCAACAAAAATGATGAAAATTATCAATCAAACCACTTCACAGTGATTTTTAGAACTCTGATATTGAAGTCCTGGACAGTGGGACTTGTATGCACTAAAATTTTGGAAATGGTGTTCAGGACTCCTTTGAAAAAAAATCTGATAAAAATTGCTGCTTTAGTCATAAAAATATTGATTGGATGGATGGACAGAACAGCACAAACACAAGATAAATATTGGTTGGGTATAAGTTTGTGAAGAAAATTGATTAGAAACAAATAATTTTACCAAAAATTGGCCATAAATGTCAAACATACAATAATCCTTATTCAAAACCTCGTCATTAAGACTACTATAAACATTTTATGTAACTTAAACAACTTACGAGGCAAAGACTCCTGCCTCCACTTGTAGAATCGGGTTTGGTAGTGATGACTCGAGCAGAACATCTTCTGGTCGGTAGCCAGACCACCCATCCTCCTGTTTGGTGGGACGTGGATTATATACTCGCAAGATTCCCTGATAACTTCCTGTGATGATTTTGTCTGGAAAATATCAAAGATGTTATACAAATCTGTCCCGGCTATATGATGTTTTAAACAACAAGACAGTTATATAACAATCTGTGAAAAGACAAAACTTCCCTGGGGGTATGTCCTAGGTGACAAACATGTTAAAATATCTATGGATATGTTATGAAAAAGATATCATCTGTTAAGTAGTTACAAGGTATATTAAAGGGATATCACAGTAAAAACATTATTTATGTTATTGATCATACATGTTTTATATATTTCCAGTTTCATTTCTATGCTATCCTGAGATTCACAATTGATCTCTAATGTCCAGCTTGACCACTTCTTTGGTTCGGGAAACACCTCTCAAATTTAGTGCTGATAAGGTAATGTAATAGTTTTGGAAATAAGGCAGTTCATTTTGTGAACACATCCACATGACTGCGAGCAGAAAGGACAGCGACAGTAGTGACACAGTAACCTGAATTTTGTTATGAATATGGAAAATGTTATTTGATAACTCTAAGTCAATATTACAAAATAAGTGACACTAATCGCCAACATTGTCACCATCGTTCAGGCGGCAAGCCATTTTCACTTACAGGTGACAGTGTTTTGAGCCCAAGTGTTATCATATATGATGCAAAAATTTACATATCCAGACTATTGATCAACAGATAAGGATTTCCTTATACTATAATTATCAATAAATCTCCTTAAAAAAAACCATGACATTGTTCATAAGGCCATACATTTGATATATACATATACAATAATAAAACGAATCAGTAAAAAAAAAATAGCTTTGATGTGACGTCGCTTTAACTTCTCCACACAAAATTGCATTTACTATACATAGATAAGATACGAAATGTTTTTTTGGAGGAGGAAACAGTTACGTATGCTTTTAATCATCTGACACACTACACTCACCCAGTCCATCAGAACCATTATCAATATTGGCCACACAAAGGCAGCCTGGTCCGAATTCTTCAGCTTCGCCAACAGAAGTTGACCACCAGTCGCGAGCCTTGAACAACGACATTTTTGGTGTGGAATTCTCCTGACAACCGTCTTTTGAAATTCACCTGAAGAAATGATGATATCAATATGAAGTACAAGTCAGTTTTTTTTCTTTAAAAAGCAGACTTAAAAAAAGCAACATCAAAACTGGTTGGATTTCATTCAAATTGTTTGTGATTGACTTAAACACTACCGTGATGAATATCAAATGATGTCACAAGACTGTCTTCATCAGTTACCCATTGGCTCCAGGTTGAAAATTGATTCCATCTACTCTACCTGTGTGTTACCATAAAGTAAATGAAAAAAAAAAAAAAAAACATGAATAAAGCATGTCTCCCATCTGATTAAAATACAGATTGTCATAATACACCTCATTATGAAGACCTGACTGTGGTCGAGAAAGGGGTCATGTTCAGATGACCTTTCAAGCAACCAATCTACTTACGTTGGCAAAAACTTGTCAGAGCCTGTTTCACTTCGGCATTTATCATGGTTGTTATTAAAAATATAACAACTGAATTTTCGGAATCTCAACCATACCAAGGTGGCTGTGTGCATCGCAACCCACTTTGCAACAAAAAGGATGTGTTTATAGGAAAACATATGAGTTTTCTTTGGATTCTCATTGTCTGTTAAAGGAACCACCTCTGAAGAAAATGAAGTGACACTTGTTTCAAATATTTCCAACATTACACTTTTTTCTATTGCTTGTTTCATCACTTCTTCTTTTTCCTCTTTTTGCTAATACTGGTATTTAAGAGATGAGTTTTGATTGACTGAAAATCCAGTTGTATTGTAAGCATTGAGGTCATCTGGACATGACCCCTTACCTCCCATCATGGTTTTTACAGAACACTATGTTTATTAAATCAGATTGAACAAGTCTCCAGCTGAGTATGACTCTTTAAACCGATATTAAGAAGTAAGTCCCATCAGCTGAATGCTATGAACTATATTTATCACAATGTACTGTTTCATCAGCTGAATGCTAGGGACCACACTTAACACAATATACATGTCCCATCTGCCTATTTATTTAGGTTACTAGTGTCACTAATTACTAGAGTGCATCACATGTCATATTCAGAAGTCCCTGTTGTAAAGAAAATCCTGAGAGCAATTAACCATATTGTGAAAGAATGAGTCAATTTAAAAAATAATGTGGATAATCACATGTAAACTTGATAGAAAATGGATAAATGGAGGAATCACTTTAGTTTTGAGGGCCTAAAACTCCCTTAGTCCTCTCCAGATTACCTTAGTTGTTGTATAGTAAACACACTAATCTTCACATCCTGACAAGGCCATTTTGTTGACCAAAGACAAGTGATTCTAATAGTAAACAAGTCTATGTGTTTCATGTGATTCTCTGCACAAATAAAATAAAACAGTAACCGTTGTCCATTATACATTCCTTTTGTGAAACATTATGTAAAATTTTAAAATATCAGCAAGTACATGTTAGCAAGTAGGTTTGTGTCTCCCGGAATCAAAACTGAACACAAGGTAACAAGTGTTTCATTGAAGATGATTACATACATACTTTTGTGGTGGGTCTGTGTGCTCTAAATTATCAGTAGTTTAAGCGGGATGCTGGATGTGGTATTCTGAGAGTCTCGAATTGAGATTAAGTGTAATAGGAGTGGGTCAGTGTAACATGTATATATGTTTGATATACTCTCTGTCACTCAGCCGATCCAAGTTTGGAACCTGGCTGGAATGTGAGGAAAGGGTGTGGGGCTGCCAGCAGTTGTAAGACGGAATTATGAGCTAATAATAATACTGGTCACACATAATACCGAACACCATCCTTTGCAATGAATTGAATAGCAGGTTTCGACAGCCTTGTAAAAAATAATTTGGTCAAAAATCATGAAAACGTGCCAAGAAAGAGGTTGTTTACATGATATCCAAGGAATTGACGGCCATTGAAGCCGAGATGTCACGACTTCGGATGTACTATATCGAAAACAGTTTCAAGAACAATCGACAGAATGCAGAATTATTCCATAAATGAATGATGAATAAACTTCTTACACTCCTTAGGTCAAAATACGCATTACATCTTGCAGCAACTGGATATAGGTAACTCCAGTGACAGGTAAAGGACTGAAAGCTTCTATGCTATTTTTCACGTCGGCGCAAGCGTGAGATTACCGGAAGTGGACACATCTATCCGATATTTATTTTTCAACAACAATTTATTTTTGTACTTTTCCTACTGAAAACGTTCTTTTCATTCATTTTTGATGTAAACATAATCTGTTTAATATGTTATGGTTATAATTCACTTTCTCAACTAAATGAGATTACACGCACTCACGGCGGCCATATTTGACATCCGGCTTAGTGCCAGACGGGAGTATTCGTGTTGACATTGTAGGAATAAGACTGCTTATTGCAACATAAGTGGTTACTGATTCGCTGCAAAAATGAATCTGGTGAAAGGAGCAATGTCCTTCTTTCATTATTTTGTTTACTCTGTTTTGGTAAGTCATTGTTTCATTTGCTTGATTGCGTGTTTATATGTCGGCAAGTGCCAGCCGAGTAAAATCGATGAAAAACAGGGCACCTGTTTCGCCCTCTTTTATGACTGTCGCTTTTGGAATGTGTTGATTTCTTCAGATTTTCTTGTGTATGTGCATAACTTGCTTAGCAACACAGCTTAACTGATGTCTTCTAATCAAATTTAGATAAGTTTGTAACGTGTTTTTCGGTAAAACAGAAAGCCGACATGACACATTACTCTGTGCCAAACCGATAGGTCTATACACACCGAGTTTATTATAATTGTCATTGCCCTTTGGCAATGGTTCGTCAGATGTGACATCTTATTGACATTTTCATTTGCTTAGACTAGCAAGTCTAGAAAATGGCCAGAACAGGTAAATGATACAACTCTCTGGTCATTCAATCAAATGTCAACCCAAATTATGTACGAAGAAGTTGACATTTTTGTTTTGGTGAGAAAAGAGAGAAAGTGAAATACATTAATATTCCTGCAACCAAGTGGTTATTTCATAATCATAGACGTAAATATGACCATTTTAGCATGACTCAACATCACCCTTCCATATGTTAATGGAAATTAGGGCAGGAACTCAAACACAGGTATATGACTTCAAAAAGATGTCACAGTACTCTAGGTAACTTATCACATACAATGTATATTATTGCAATTTACAGGCCCTCGGCTTTAATTTTTTGCAAAATTGAAAGTCCTCTGGTAACAAATGACTAATGGGCTCATTTCTTAATCCTAAAGAATTACTGCATAGTTATTGCACGAAAGATGCAGAAGTGAAAAAAATTGAAATGGAGAGTGAAAAGTCTGAACTTTTAATCTGTACCTAGGTGCAAAAAGTGGCAAGACTAAAATCATGATATTAAAGTGTATAAACTAAAAGTAAGTTTGGGAAAAGGTGAGTGATTGGCATCATAAGACATGTCTTGTATTGAAAATCTTGTAGATAAAGAACAGACCTTTTTAATCCAGACGTGGCATGTATGTGAAGTTAATTATTTCTATCTGCCATTACATGGTCATATTGTTGACACAGGCCTGGATTACTTATTTCATCTATAGCACTTTCTCTGGGGATGGAGTTATAACAATCTTCATCTCCAGTATCTTTGAACTCTACTTCCTTTTCTAGTTCAGGCTTCTGAATAAAATCTTTCGTTTTTTTTTTTAATATATGATGTTGGCTTTTGTCGAAGTGTTTAGTTAGATGCTTGATGCGATCTTACACGGTCCTGGTCCAGATACATTCCTCGATCAGGAATTCCATAACATCAATTTTATACTCCCAAGGGTCTAGAAATTAGCTGCGTACAAAGTCCTGTGTCATGACTGCAGCTTTTAGATACCATTAGATACCAGTTGTATATTGGACATTAAAATGTCTGGTGGTTCTAACTCGGCCTGATCAAGCCTTTCCTTGTATACACTGTTACATTGATCCAACATGCTAATTCGGTCTTATGCTTTGTTTAAAATAGACAATATGTTTTTAAGATGTATGAAGTATCAAATTATGAATCAGTATAGAATGTTTAGGCATTATTGTTGATTTTAAATATATTTAACAAGTATCATTAGGCAAGCCATTTTAACCATGGCTACCAAGTCATAAGCATATTGTAGTTTCTTCAGTTACCAATTGAAAAAATGTTTTAAAATACAATGTGAATTATATGTTTTTTAAGTGTTTTTATTGTGTTTACAGCAGTGTGAATGCAATGGGATCAAGACATATTCCAAATTTACAATAGAGGGCTGCATGTCCCATTGAATTCATATACCACTGTAAATGCAAATAAACACAGTGAAGTAGAGAAACTGCTCTTGTGTGAGCAAGCTGTTGGACTGTAAGGTTTCAACTGATTGCACAAGTAATTGGAATTGTGGATATTTATTATTTGTAATATATCTAAGATCAGTTTTATTAAAGTGCCACCTGCTTTACAATATTGAAGTACAATCAAATACACATTTAATAAATTAAATTGCCAAGCCAGGATAAGTAAATGAAAACAAGCAGAAACAGAAAAAAATGACTGGTACAGCACATGGTACAAATTTATGTATATGATAAACAGACTCGTGTGAAATCAGCCTCTGCTGTCACCTTTAGGTATAAACTCAGTACACAGTATCATAAAATATATATTGTTGACACTTGTTCGTACTTAAATCAATATTCTACAGGGCTAGTGCGTGTAATGGAAGCAGGCTAGAGTTGACATTATCATATCCGGTGACAAATACACAGAGCATTTTAGAAATGAGATTTTCTGTTAATTATTTATGGTATTTCCAAAAAAGACTAGTTCATGTTATAAAATGTCAGTTATGTATTGGTTATATTCCATAAAATGTTCATGTGATGCTGTAAACCAGGATATACATTTTTCATATATACAAATTTTAGTCTTTAAATGTATGTATTATTTAATTCATGTGATACCATAAAGTAAGTCCTGGTAAATAGGTACAGATGGAAGGGAAATATGGACAGCTGATCATGATTAATGAAGGTTATGTAATACATTTTAATGTACATATGATTTGTTGTCAGAAGCAATGCACTTGAAAGCTATCTATAGAAGTTAAGATGTAAACTTTTATTTGCAAAAGTGATAATGTTTAATTGATTAATCTCATGCCTGTATAAACAGAACATATTTACTCAACATAAATTTTAAGCTGAAATACTCAAAATGAAAAAGAAGATTTAAACTCATTTTATACTTGAATCCATTTATCCATTCAATCAAAGAATACAGAAACTTGATTAGGCCTTACAAGCAAGCATTCATACATAAATATTCATCATCCACTTACATGAAACCTTCTTGAATTGATAGGTCAGTATTTTGTATTAAAAAAAATTTCTGGTCAGTCCAAAGCACTATTTCTAAAATATTGACGAGTCAAGCACAAAAACATATATAGTGTGTTCTCGAAATTTAATTTGAGTCCCACAGGAAAAGTATGAGTCTAGGACTCAAATGTTTGAGTCACAAAAATCACTAGCTATAGTTATAGGTTATGTGAATATGTTGTACTTTCCTTGATCTACAGCTTCACATGATGTCTGAAAGTCATGTCACTGCCAGCTGTTATTATAGAGTATTGACCCGTCATGTACATTGTCAGACATACATTTATAAGGCATGTAGTGTTTGAAGTGCTATTCATTTCTCTGCTTTTACTTTTCAGATTAGTTTCATCATTAGGTCCAGCCATGGAGAAGTTGTCCAGCTTGTTAGTAGTAATATGAATACTATAGTATGTAAGTACATGTTAAACTCCCTCAAGTGTTAAATTTGAGTTGTTATCCAGATATTAAGGTGAAACATGCCCTGCAGTGCAATTATGAACAGCTGTCTGTCTGCATCAACATTAATATCTATAAGATTGGAAATGTAAATATGGTTTATAGCGCAAACAATTCTATAAATCTAGTATACACAATGCATACATCTAGATCATCAGTAAATTTTGTAAGACTTTTTGTTTTTTGAGTACAGAACATCACTTCCAAAATTGTTATAAGTGCATAGAATAGAAGTTCTTATAATGCAACCAGTAGGAGATTTGAGTGTGAAGTTTCTATGACTACATGGTCACCTTCATCAGACAAACAACTTTAGCGTACATAAAATTATTCCTTATATCATCTCGTACACTACTTAAAGGTATTGCTAGTACACTCTACACTGGTCATTTGTCTGATGAAGGTGACCATGTAGTGTGATGGGTGTTGTTTATAGTCCTTAGGTTACTATTGCTGTGCTAATGTATATATATATATGTACTGCTGTAACGAAAGGTGTATAAATACATATAAACAGCCATTATTTCTTTTACAGCAACAAATGATGTCGTTTTTGTCAATTTTTATGCTGACTGGTAAGTACATTACCTTTGTTTAATATTTAAAGATAAACTATAATTAGCTATAATTAAAAAGATCAGAATGTACTCTAAATAAAAGACAAAGAGGTTTAAGCCAAGTGTATACACATGCATTGGTAAAATATGATTAAAAGTTAAATCCTTATAATTTAATTACAGATTCTTTGATATTTCTTACACTGACACATTGGCCAATCAAACATATCATTATAAAGTGGCATAGATATTTTGTATTATGGGATGACAACGTAAAATATGGCATATGAAAATGCTTGCCTCATAGAGGATTATATGAAGTAGTTGAAAAAATGGCATAATTAGAATGAGAAATTGAACATTACTCATGTTTATATAGCATTAAGCTCTTCCATTGTCCCATAAATATTATTATTGTTTAGTTTACAAACAAATTTAATTGTTCTGCAATAATTCAAACTTTGAGTCAGGATTTGTATTTTGTTCTTCTGGGCTCCTTGCTTGATCAGTGGTTAAATTAACAGATAATTGTAAAGATGTTAGTAATAAATAATAATATTTGATATTGTTATGTCTGTATAAAGATCGATCTGGACCAATTACTAGATTGAACTGATTACAGAAATCCTAGTAGTATGTTATATGCCTATAATAAACTGGTATCTTTATTACAGGTGCAGATTCAGTCAGATTTTAACACCAGTCTTTTTAGAAGCATCAAATAAAATTAGCGAAGAATTTCCTGTAAGTATAATCCATATTTATTTATTGTCTATAAACAGGCATTCCAGTAAAAAGATATATTTTAAGTTTGAGTGATATATTTTTTAAAAAAAGATCATTTTTGATTTCAAATATTTATGAAACAAGATAGATTTAGTAATTCCCAAAATAGTATCAACAACAATAGTATTATCTAGTTATCCTACCTTTATCCTAAACCTCCTTTGCTCTTTTCAGACTGATATCATTGTTTACACCATTCTTAAAATGTTTTTTTTTTTGGAATTGAGTGATCTACCCTTGGAGAACTTGGTTCATTAGGAAAGGAAAATGTTTTATTGAACAGAAAAGAAATATACATTGTGAAATGAACATTCTGTTTGGCCCAGGTCAGAGCCATTCGTTTGTTTGAGTGGTGGGGAGAGAAAGTGTTTATATGAAATCAAAATTGAAAATGCTAATTTGCAAGATCTTAGAGTGATTACTTAAAATTCTGGAAACAACTTTCAGGAAATTCAATCATTCTTTATTAAATTATTTCAGACAAGGGTATATTTTTGGGTGGAAAGGTCAATGCCATACAAGCACTATTGTAATTTAAGCCTTACTTATATTGGTTTCGGGGATACACTGGGCTTTAACAAGGAGGGGAAAATGAAATATGTTTAAATGTAAATGCTTAGCTATAGTGTGTGAGATATGAATTGGAAATATTTTATTAAGGAGACAAACTGATGAAAATACCAAGCATGTATTTATTTTGTGACTGCAATATCAATTGAATTAAAGTGTAAATGAAGAAAATGTATATATATATATATATATAAATACATGCTTGGTATTTTCATCATGTATATATATGTATACAATAATAATTCTTTCTTCTTTATTTATATTGCAGCAGTCAGGACGGGTTGTTTTTGGAAAAGTAGATGCTGACAGAGAAAGTAAATACAGATTTTAGAAAAGTTTGAATGGATTTATAAAGTTTTTGCTTTCTAAATATTTACTGATTTGTAAGATTACTAATTAATCAGTCAAGTTAAGTAAGGCCCATTATTGTTATATCAAACAGATACACAATGATGACACATATATGATCCGTGAGGTTTTTGAAATGGAAAGTTTTGAAATCATATTGAACAGCATTGGAACCATTAGATGTTTTTGGAATACTAGATAAATACTTTCAGAGAAACAATATTGACAAATTCTGTGATAGATAAAGTTGTAATAAAAAAGCAGTTTATTATTTGTAACTTTACGTTAGTTAATTATACTATGTGTATTTCAACAGGTGCTCTGGCTGCGGATAATCATATATCAAAATATCCAACTCTGAAATTGTTCAGAAATGGACAGGTTATGAAAAAAGAATACCGTGGACAGAGAACTGCCGACGCGCTAGCAAATTACATCAGGGACCAGTTAAAGGATCCCATACAACAACACACTACACAACAATCTGTGGAAGAATTGGATGTAAGTCATAGATATAGCTGATGTCATGTCAATATATCATTGTTGGAGGGGGTGGGGGGATGGTGTTCTGGTATAGCCCTAAACATATACTGAAGATTCCTAGTGTAGAATGGATGTTTTATTGGGGTAGCCCTGAACAAAACCTGTAGACCTGGTGTAGAATGGATTTTTTATTTGGGTAGCCCTGAACAAAACCTGTAGACCTGGTGTAGAATGGATTTTTTATTGGGGTAGCCCTGAACAAAACCTGGAGTCCTTAGGTAGAATGGATGTTTTATTGAAATAACCCTGAACAAAACCTAGGGTAGAATGGATGTTTTATTGAGATAACCCTGAACAAAACCTTGAGTCCTTGGATGGAATGGATCAATTTACCATCATCTTCTTGCGGTCTAAGACATCTCTAGATATTAACACGATTTTGATGGATTATACACTAAAATAAGATGATATGACTTTGGCTGAAATTTTTTATTTTGAATTACTTACAATTACAATTTTTTTCAGGAAAAACAGAGACATATTATTGGATATTTTGGGCATCAAGAAAATGAAGCCTACCAAACCTATTTAAAAGTTGCTACAACTCTGCGGAATGAATGTAATTTCCACGCTGCTGTAGGGTAGGTACTCGTTATAGGGTTACAGTTGTATTACACACTTTTACTGTAATACTACATGGCTCATTGCTGCAATGTTTACATCTGCTGTGAAAAGTCTAATATATCTGAAATAATGGAATAATTCATTTATCTCATTTATTTTAATAAAGTTCTTAGCACATGATATTATGATCTTTTGTAATTTCAGTCCAGTATCTGAGAATGAGAGGATAACAGGAGATAATGTTGTGTATCGTGCCCCTAATGTAAGTATGGTTGGAAATTACAGCAAGGGTTGGTTAGACTATAGACACATAGATTTCTTTGGTAAAAAGATCAACACATGAGAAGGCCTTTTTATTTTTAAGTCTTAAATGCATTGACATCTATAAAAAAAATCATTGTAATTGAAATTAAATGACAATGTATCAATCAGTCATTTATTCAAAGAATATTGGACCCATGTTGTTTCCATGTCACTGACCTGCTTTTGCTTATTAGTTCTACCAGTAGGACCAGGTTTGTTCTTTTATGAAATAAAGATAGGTCTACTGAATTCATTTTTGCTAAGATGTGATTGTTTCTTCATTACAGACAAAAAAACAAGATGTTAAATACCCAGGAGTATTGAATAATTATGAGGGGCTCCTGCAGTGGGCTACCGAACAGTGCATGCCTCTGGTCAGAGAAATCACATTTGAAAATGCAGAGGTAATGTTATCCATACATGTGCAAACAAACGTAGTCAAAATAAATAGTGATCTACAGTCTGGATTTATAACTTTTCCTTTTATTGATTTCTAGATTGTTACTACATTTTGTGGTTTTCATTGAAGTCATTGAGTTTGTACTCATGAAATTAAAAACACCAACTTGGTTTTGCTGTGAGATGTAAAATGCTGAAAGTATGAAAACAATGTATTAATGTGAAGGTTTAATACAATAATGTAATGATGTGATTGTTTAATAGGAATTAACAGAGGAAGGTTTACCGTTTCTCATCCTTTTCCATCATCCTGATGATACTGCAGTCGTAGAAAAGTTTGCAGCGGCTGTCAATCAAGAGTTATTGGGTGAAAGAAGTAAGTTTTCTCATTGGAAAATGCAGTGACACAATGTTTAAACTTTTAAAAGTTAACTTGAGTAGTCCCTTATCTCTGAAGGTTAAAGGTCAAAGCATTGGGATATTGTCACAAGTGTGTGTACTTTACTTGTGTGCATCATCCCTTGTTCCAGGTTAAGTTACTCTTGATAAAAATTTGGCAGTTTTTATATTTACCAACAATAAGCAGGAACTGGTGAAAAGGTCTTTTTACAGATAGAAAATGCTATAATACATAGCTAGTTAGGTGGAAGATACAATGGTGTTTATTCAATCAAAGCAGGATATTTTTACCACTGATTTGCATAAGGCCTTTTTGGCTCAGTTTGAAATTGTTGAACTGGGAAAGAAATTTTGGAAATTAGGCTTAAATTTGAAATAATTTCAGTGGAGAATAGGGTGAAAATTACTGAAATAAAAACCCTGCAAATTTATTTAAAATTACCATTTTAATAGTAACTGCTTGTGTTATGACTAATATCTGGAATATCTTGCCTAAGTTGAAATATAAAAATTACATATTTTTACAATGAAAATGGTGAATTCTTTACATTGGAATACTTACCTATAATATTTTTTTTTCAGCGAGTGTGAATTTCTTGACAGCAGATGGTCTTAAATTTTCTCATCCTCTTCATCACCTCGGGAAATCTGCTGGTGATCTGCCTGTTCTGGCTATAGATAGCTTTAGGCATATGTACCTCTTCCCAAAAAATATCAACCAAATAAGGTAAGTTGTGAACACTTGTGTAAAAATTGATAGAATGTTTTCTTGTTCTTAGAGTTAAAGGGAGTTAATTGAAATCAGGGTGTCAGTCTGCACATAGATAAAGGTGTCCAGAATAATACTCCTTATAAGTCTGAGTTTTTAAAGCATTTTTTATCAGACTTGGTATACTCAATAGGCTCTTAAGTTAGACATGTTTATGCTGTAGTTTATTTTCTACTTGATTTTTTTCTGGGAGTTATGCCCCTTACAGAGAAAATGCTACTTGCTCTTTTTGTGCACGTTATCAAATACAACAGCTGAAACCTTTCAATTTGTCATTTTTATTATTTTCTGAGTTTTAAATATCTCTGTATGCAACTATGTTTATAATTTTATATTGTTATATTCTCCTTTTGTTTAGTGGTGAGAGGAGTACAATATCTTTGTAGAGAAATAGATTACACAAACTCAGGCTAAGATTTGAGGTGTATGGTTTGAAGTTCACTACCTGTGGTGGTTTGTTTTTGTCAGAAATTGTGTCCGTGGGCAAGACACTTTATCTTAATTGCTTTGGACAGCATATGATTTGCCGCCCATATGTTGTTCAGTGAGGTAGCCACCAGCTACTATGGGAAGACTCTGGCTATCACAAGTACTTCAGGATAAAATTTCACATGCAAGAGAGTTCTACATTCATTTAGTTAATACAGTTCCAGAAATTGTCTTGACGATAATTACTTAAATTCTGATTAATTTTCAGTGAACCTGGAGTATTAAAACAATTTGTACAAGATCTTCATTCTGGTAAATTACATCGTGAATTTCATCATGGCCCTGACCCCACAACGACACCTGAACCAGACGTGAGTATTCAGTGTTGGTTCATCTTAAATGGATTGCTTGATTATTTTGAAGGTACAGATGTTAAACATTTAAAACTGGCCTTTCTATTTGTAAAGTATTTCTGTCCTAAACTAAATTTTTGCTGTTCATTTGAAAATTAAGTGGATTGATTTTTAGTGCTATTGATGCAGAAATAGCAATAGGAAAGCTGGAAATATGATTCCACATTTTCTTATTTGTATCTAAAATGGTAAATTTACAATGCATTACATCACTTGGATGGTTCTCAGAATCGGTACATAAATGAAGCATATAATCTGTTGATACAGTAAATAACTTATCTACACAGGACTAAATTTCATGGTTAAAATACAACAGTTTCTATAAAATTCACAAAAATTAGATCCATGTGAAAATAACTTTTCCTGTAACACTGTAACTGTATCCCTTATCTGTAAAGCAACATAAAATCAAGGATTTTTTTTTTTTAATTAAAATTTTTTAAAAAAAATATTTGTATTCAGGTTATTGTATGTTTTTCAGGGATTAATCTATGATAAGTGATGGAATATGTACATAAATTGCATAATGTTTGGTTTTCTCAGACTAAGGAAGAAGAAGTGCAAACAGACCATATACCACACGATAAGAATGAAAAGGACGGTGAAGTGAAATCGCCAACATCTCCACCTGAATCTACATTTAGAAAATTAGCACCCTCCGAGAACCGGTACACACTTCTCCATAAAGACGAGTTATAAGCTGATGGTGAGGAAAGTGGGCCACTTCTGTTGATCAGAATTTTTGAAGAGACAGAAATGTGGGATATTTATTACAAAGTTAATATCTAAGATGAAATTTCACGACAGTTTTAGAAAGAAATGTTTCATTGGCAGAAATAGTGTTTCATAAAAAGATTACTTGATAGTATCTAAATCGATATCACAGAGTTCAAAATTTATAACTCTTTGTTGTTATTATGCTATTGAAAAAATAATAATTCTTCATTTTGGGTCAGAAGATAGTTTTTTTTATTGCCTTGCCATGGAGTGGGATATGAATTAGGGGAAATAGTTGTTAGTATTTTAAGAAGTTTTGTACCAGTCTCTTGGTAATATAGTATTTAGGTAAGTACAAAGCAGAATTCATTATTTTGAAAACAAAATATATTGTTTAGATCTTTGAATTGAAGAGATTTTCTGCGTGAAAATTTGATGACAATGTGGTATGAAATTTTGATTCAAGTTTTATCCAGATTGCTGTAAACGTAGATATTTTAGTGGTACTCTTATTTTAGCACTATTTTCATTGAAAGTATCAATATTATTACATCAACTGTTGCTTCTGGATATTAAGCAATTATTACTGATTGGTGCCATAATTCCCAAAAAAGTGATTTTGTCTCGATGATTGTGCTAAATTAAGTCTGTTTACAGCATCTTCCATGTAAAAAGCTGGTTTCAAACGATTTCTGTCACAAAAAAATGCATTGATAGAGAAATTGAAATAGAATTCTCTTTAAAACTGGTGTTGACAATTTCTAGACTAGTTATATGTGGTGACATCAGACTAAACAGTTTTAATTTAAATTATATTAATCAGATATAAATATAAAAGGGAGACTGAAGAGGAGTTATTGATATCAGAAATGAAGTGAGTTTGGACATAGGTTGTAGAAATCATAGGTTCGTGATGGTTTTAATAATCAACCTTTGACCTTGTCTGGCCTCGGGTTCATTAACATTCTTAGGTATATTCTCATTCTCAAATTTGAGAGCAGCCAATTAGAAGTGACATTAAAAAAATGTAATGACATTTTTCATTTTTTAAGAATGAGAACATACTTAAAACATTAATCATACAGAGGCCTTTTATGTGAATATAACAATATGAAAAAAAAAATCAGTTTTTGGGAAAAGATTCAGAATCTTCTGCAATAGGTTAATGACTTCGAAAAGTCTTTAAATTTGGTCAAACAGAAACTTCTTCTTTTCTCAATAGCAGATATTTTATGGAATCATCAGTTTCTTGGTTCGATCTGGTCATGTGATTCCAGCTGTTAATGGTACCATACACAATCATTAGGTATTGTCATATGTGGTTTTTTTTTATATTGTGAAAAGATCTTTCACATTTGTTATCAAAACATGATACATTTCTGTTTTGTTTTGTGATATAAAATTGAAAAACAAAATTAATATTTTTGAAATTATTTTTTGAAAAAAATCATTGACAAGATAATGAAATGTGGTAATTTGGTTTGAAATTTAGGGTGAAAATTAATGGAAATGGACTATAATTATTTTGTTTAGTTTTGATGGCATATGAGTTTTTGTTATCCTTTGAAACAATATTACCTGATCTCTTTTGATAAGAGTTGTTTAATGTCATATATTTTAAAATGTTTTTGAAATTATAATGTCTTTTTCAATGTAGAAAATTTAAGGTGAACGATATTAAACAAATTGATATCTTATGATGCATGTATAAAACCAAGGAGAGGGGAAACACTTCAGTATTTATATTTGAATGTAAAAATTGTTAATCCTGATATTAACAAGTTAAGGGAGATGGTGAAAGTCTATTTAAGTTTACTGTCATCGTTTTATTTGTACAAAGAAACTTTGTACCAATTTTTAATTAACATATTTAAGACATTGTTAGGAAAGCTTCAAAAATGAATTGTGGTCCAGATGTGTAAGAATATAATCCAATCGACAGAGACCCTTTCATGAAAGAAAAAAATAGAAAAAGAAAACTATAATCTTTTGTGTTCACTCGGATATTACCTTGCAAGCACCTCCATGTCATTGCTGTATGAATTTGTTCTTTCATTCATTGAAGGTACAATTTGTAGTGTTTGGGGCTTTTTACCTTAATGAGGTTAAATGAGTTGGTACTTTGTGAAAACTGCAGCATTCACATTTTATAAAATAATAGGAATGACAGTTAATGCTGGGTGATAGGATTCATATTTTTATCTTTATCAGCATATACATCAAGCTTACTTCACATCTTTTTCATACACCACATGATCATATAAAGTGAAAAAGAGTGCGGAATGAGTTTTGATTATTTTAGCCAAGTGTACTCGAAATATCAAAGTGAAACAGCTTTTAAACAAAAATCTGTTAGAGGTAAATTATTATTTTAGGTTGTTGTTCACAGTCATAAGATGAAAATATAAATAATACTAGCGGTCTTCACGAAGTTCCTAAAATTTGACAAAGTGATAAGTGTACACAGTGGTATATGTGGTGTGAGGTAAATAGATTTTAATCTATTCTTGTCAATTCCTAAACTTATGTTTCAAAAATATTTCTGTAAGATACAGTCGTGTTCCTCAAGTCAGATGTACATCAAACAAACATACTGGCTGTCTATCATATAATGATACACTATAGACGCCATTCTTCAGAACACCTATTTTTATTTATATGTTTATTCTCAAAAGCATGATTGTGTTTACTTTCCATTAATCATTGTTAGTCACCTGATCAGAGTCATTTATCACACATGTAATGTTTGGAGCAGCTTCACCCATCACATAATTATTTGGAGAGAGAAGAAAGCACACATCCATGCATTTTTCAACTCTCCATATGGATTTTCATCAAATTCTGTGATAAATTATGATTATGTTTGAAGTGCTTTTTCTTTAAACAGAAAATACCGGTATATACATGTACAGTACAAAACCTATATAATAAATGTAAGATATAAAGGCACATTTATTGATTAATAAACATTAAATTGTTTTCCTATTAAGCAAGTCTTATAAAATTCTGTACTGTTAAAAGTTCCAATTTTTGTGATAATTTTTCTTGCCAAAAGTTTGAAGCAGAAAAGACAGAAAGTACTTTTCTTAAAGTCAGAAGTTGATAAACGTCAAAAGAATCACCAACACAAAACCTCATTTCTATGATTAAAAGTGGTTCATTGTTGTACTTCCAACTGTTCAGTCTGGTAACATACTTCACCATGACCCTACATGTAATAAGATGCTATCAGTTTGTCTAAAAAAAGAAAACAAATACAAAAAGTTGGGTTTTTTTTTCGTCACATTTTCTTTAGGCTGGTAATGTCAGTAGAATAGGAGACAGTTCTTAAAGAATAACCAGTAGAAGATTAGAATGTGATGTTTTGATGACTACACGGTTACATTCATCAGACGAAACATGTTGTTATGGAGACTCAAACCTTCTACTGACTGTGAGACTATAAGAATTTGTATTATACAGAAAGAAATCAAATAGCATGCTTATGTTTCAATGTGTTTCTGCACCAGTTGAGTTCTGATGCAAATTACATCCTGTATCTTAGGCTGTCAATTTCCGAACTGACTTCAGTTTATTTTGTCTCTGATTCAATAACTACTGAAAAATCTGTTTTAATGAGTAATTTGGAAGTAAGATGTTGATTGTAGGAATTACTAGACTGTCATAAAAAATTAACTTAAAGGCTTTTGTAAATTATCTGCCATTAAAATCCTTGATTTAATGTAAAAACCATTGTCATCTTTCGGATTATACTCAGTGTGTACACAGATATTTGTTTTCATCATGGATTTGGCAGGAAATTTGCAAGCCTTGACTTACGTGGAATATTTGGTTTGAATATGTTTTTTGTTGTAAAGAACACTCAGTTTTCTTGAACAGCAGGGTATGTTTGATAAAGAGTGAAAATAATATGCATGGTAATATTCTTGTGTGACTGTAAAAAATCATTGATGTTAGGAATATAGCATTAATTTGGTACAGGTATAGTATAATTGTACCGGTAAGTCTCATACATGCTTTATAAAGAAATCAAATCTATGGAAAAGACCAGCTCTGTCGGGCAATCTCGTCTCAAAGTGACTCTTTGTCCACACATACAATTTTTGATAGTTATGGAACCAACAATATTAAACGATCTCTGAAGGAGGAGAGTTTTAGTCTTACAACGGGGAACCTCTTTTACTCAAAATACATGTACAATATACAGATCTAAACATATTTGTTTTGATGTGTTGTTTTTGCGAGCTTGCCTATTAAACCCAAACAAGTTTGTTTTGTCAGATTAATTATATAAGAAAACGGAGCATTTCCCGAGTTCATAAGTTGATGTCCTATTTATTTCAGTGTATCATGATTGTGTTTGTCCAGCTGATAATTTCAGATTTTAGGATTTGCTATCATGTGATATCAAACATAATTACAGGGTGATTGAGGCTTTTTCTTTCAAAAACCTGTGTTACGTTGTTACAGAAAGATGTTTGGAGGATTTGATACTGTATAGTTGGTAACATACGTGATGAGCTTGATTTCGCCATATTGGTGTTCATCAACGACTGCATGAAAATGAATAGCCAGTTAATATTTACCACAGATCAAAATATAAGGAAATCTGTGTTATGTACCAGTATACATGAATGCCAATGTTTAGACATACTGGTCTGTAAAATTTAATACCTGTGAACTGCTCCAAACTGGGACGACAGCGAAATGCAAGCCCTGAATAAATTAACTATACAGTAGGTTGAGATATCTAGTTGTTCTAGATACCTGCTTTGAGAGTTGAACCAGTTGTAAATTATCATCTGGTGAATTTAATATAAGCTTTAGAGGAACCGATTCAATATTTCATTCAAATAAGAAATTTACCATAGTAATGTTAAGCTTCCAGTGTGCTTTTTAATAAGTTTTTTTTTTGTTTATTGTTTATGTCCAGGTGTGAAAAACAGACTTTATGAAACTCTCCTGTTTGCCTTGTTTAGACATCTCTTACTTTCTTTAAAACCATCCTCGTTATAGATTTGTTTTACCTGAAAATCTGCTTTATTTAAGATGCAATTCTGCAATATTTGACCAGTTCAGAATTATTAATTCAGATACTACATTTGTTGTTTTGGTCAATGGTGTTTGTTATCAATGTTACAGCTTGTTGATTTTGTTTAACAAGATGGACTCAACCATATAAGGGTTTTTTTTTGGTATTACATCAATGAGTAAAAGTGTATTTTACAGGTGGAGAGTGTGGGGAAAATGCAGTATGTATGATGGTAATGGAGATAGATTTGGATTACTGTGTAATGTATGAAAGAATTTGTTTTAAAAGTGAATAAATGATCTTTTAATAGAAAAAAAATCTTGTTTCTTTTAATTTTTGTTCACAGATCACCTGAATTGATTGTGCATTCACATATACTATAAAGCACTTTCTTTTTTTCCATTTATAAACAACAATGAATGATATTGGTCAGGTTGCGCAGTGGTAACACTTGCCTCTCACCAAGTTGTCCAGGTTTATTTCCTGGAATGGATGTTATAAAGGTATGGCGTCACCTGCCTGACCACATGGGTTTTTCCCAGGGTACTCTGGTTTCCTCCGAAAGCAAGACCATCGTGTTTCCATCCGGGCAAACAAGAGTGATTAATATAAGTTTGAAAAACTTGTTTCACAATTATTGTAAAATAAATAAAGCTTGATTTGACTGATATGAATAAAGCAATTAAATGACTAGGAATCTTAGTCACAAAATAACATTTGAAAAATATTTGGAAAAATGTTCAAATCAGTTCTTCTGTCTTCTAACATGAAGAACTGCAGTGAACAAAAATATGTAAAAGGAATGTAACCAGAGAACACAGGTCATTCAAAATACTTTTAGGTGTGGTTTCATGTAATCTTCACAGAAATGATAGTTTCCCTATTGCTTGGTTCCAACTTTTTGCCTTTAAACTTGGGCATATCTAGTATTTCCTATGGCTGTGATTCTGTTGTAAGTTGGTTTTTGCTGTTTGACAGACAGAGATACTTAACTGACATTTGATATGTAATATGATCAGGAGATGAAGAGGCACAGATCAATATTAATTTGTTTATCTCGGTCCATATTCAAAGTCATGGAAAAGATATCTAGAAAGTATCAGTTTCCACTCATTTTCTTGGAGCTAAATTGGACTTGTGAGCTGAACTTTGACATTTAGTTGTATTAATGAGAAATCATGCAATACGAGATCAAATTATTTTTTCAGGAGTTATGGCCCTTGACCTTGTCAGAAAAGTAAGAGGATCTGAAATGTCCAAAGTAGTTCCTACTTTTATTTTTTATTTTTTTTAAGATAATTTTCAACTAAAAATAAAATTCAGTCACCCCCTAAGCTTCAAAATTAAGGCTCTTGACATCACTGACGATCCGAACAAGGAAGAACTAGCTGTATGATACTGTTAACTTAATTCTTTGACTCTACTGTATCTAGACCAAAATAAGTATTTAAAGGTGCTATTCGCTTGTGTGTCATTTGTACAATCTTTATATGTTTGTCCTGTCCAAAATCAGTCAGTAACATCTATATACATGTACTATGGCCAAACGAAAGTAATGTAGGGTACAGTACATCAATTATTTTGTGTAGTTTTCAACATTTCATTTTAAAAATGTGCAATCTCATCTGAACTTCTTTAGATATCATCTGGTTCCAGGGACCGATTTGGAGAAGACAGAAGAGAAAACTAAAGTAAGACTTCGAGTTTGTTTACTCTTCCGGAATACCTGGTTTATTATTCTCCTTGTACTTTTTTAGGTGTCTGTGTAAAATCTTTCTTTTGTTCATGTTTGGCCCTAGTTCTATTCAATTTTGGTTTAGATTATGATGATGTTGACATGTTAGTAATTTCTTGTTTTTTTTTTTTTTTTATTTTTTTTTTAAAATGCATTGTGACTCTAGATGAAAACAAAAACCCACCTTATTTCAATAACTACTTTACTGTTTAACTAAAGAGAGCTAAGGTAGCCATGATAAACACGTGTAATTGATACATGACCTGTAGTTCTATTACCTTTATGGGGTATATTATTCATTTGGTACAATGTTGTGCTGAATTGCTTGTGTTAATTAAGCAATGGAAAAGTGACAGAAGTTGCCATTCTATGTACTAGAACTCTGACTGTGTTTTCTTGGAGTTAACAGATGCCTACTGCCATTTTGCTAAAGTTTGGATTTCTTTCAAACATACTGTCACTTTGAACAGCCAGGGCCATTCCGAGGTGAAGGTCTCTTTTTAGTAGCTTCCGGAACACCTGGCCCCACTTGTATAAAACATCTCAACTTGAGATTTTCCTCAGCTAATATCTCCTTGAAAATATCTTGTATGAAAATTCTTTCATTTTTCCTCCTGTTCCTTGAGAAAATTTTATACAAGCCGTTTTTGAGGAAATATCTCTGTCTCAAGTATATGTTTTATCTTTTCTTGTACTTTTTTCATTTTTAGCAGTCTCTGTGTAAATCTTTTCTTGTTCATATTTTGCCCTAGTTTTATTGAACTTGGTATTGAATCATGATTATTTTCTACTGTAGAAATTTTCTCGTTGTTTCTGGACACTGTGCAAGTTTTGTTACCAGTTTTGGTTGTTAAGCTTCTAATTCTAAAGTGGCTGGTCTTTTGATGGGTCTTGGTGCTACAGGAATCCGGAGTCCCGTGGTTGGGCATGCTTCTGTGTAAAAAACCGCTGCACTGTCCGACCACCCGTTTGATATTTCACTATGATAAATTAAACATAGGTGTGATATTGAATAAAAATGCAGCTGAACTGAACTGGTTTGATCATCGACGAGCTGGTAGCGACAAAGGGTTCTGGGTTCGAACGCCGGTTTGGCCGTGCATTTTTCGTTTCTCTTACAGAACAATAGAAGTATTGAAGGCCACGATCCCATTTATCTAATTGATTAGTAAAGCGAGTCTGTGATGTCTCAATTTGTAGTGCATGGATCATTGTTCTAATTAATGATCAATTAAGTTCAGCAGGTCATTTAATGAATTTGTGTTATGTCTGCAGTCGTCTGACCGAAGACTCATTTGAGTCTTTAATTTTATGTGTCCACACACCGTGTACGAAACACACACATTTCTCGACCGATTTTGATGACAGGTGAATACGTGACATGCATGTTGTGTCGCCATTGAAATGACCGACTTTTGGAAAATAGGTTTATATGAACGCCAATTGATGTTCAGGGTATCATCAAAGCTATTTCTATCAATAAAAAAGTCTGTATGCTTTAAACGTACTTAGTTTGGTGCAAAAATTACAAGAAAACGTGTCAACATAATCATAATCCAAACACAAATTCAATAAAATGACAATGCTATGACAGCAGGGGAACAATTTATTGACGTCACGAGAACAATTTAATCTTGTCGACGATGTCGTTTCTCGTAATTGTGAATTTCTTTCCATGGACAGTCTGTCTTCTAATTTCCGTTTTTACTTCAATCACCGCTTTCCTTATATGTCGTTTTCTCTTATTATTGTCTTTTTTCTGTGTCAGCCAACTTTGTTTTTCGCCAGTGGCCAAAAATAGACCCTTACTATCATTGACAAGTCAGAGAAGGTCGAAATAGCTGTATGATGTAGTAGAAATCCGTCAGTTGGCTCTGCTGTATCTTACTCTAAATTTGTACATTGAATTACTTGTGTGTCTATGCCTCTTGCTAAATGGTTGAAATAACACACACCCGCCCTACACACACTCCCCTAAGTGACCATATCGCCAATGTTGAACACCATCTAAATACTACCTTGATGGTTTCGAACAATTCTAAAGAAAATGAAATTGCCATCTAAAGCACAGCAATTCATATTATATCAATTTGAAGAGTAGCCAAATATGGCAGGAAAGTGGCCGAAAACATTTAGCCACATATCATACATATGTAAATGGTAGGAGAGAAATTGGCATGGTCAATAACATCGGTGTTAGCTAATTGTACGGGGTGCGTGGAATGTTTATTTTGATGGCCGTATCTGACCTTATGGTTTTACTACCGCTTGTCCAGTATTGAGGGTTGGTCTCAAATACCTCCTGTCAGGCAGACGACCAGCCTTGGAAATAAACGACAAAGGTTAAAAGGTCATCTTGACCAGTCATGTGACACAAGTTTTATTGGTCACGCACTATTGCGGAGTTCAGTTGAGCCATGGCTGACCAACAGACAGCGTTGATATTCTATGTCAATGGAACCAAAGTAAGTTTTTTTTTTTTTTAATTTTAATTAATAGAAATTTTACACCAAGCAGTTATACAATTATTTACGAAAACATCTACAAAGTAAAATTCCATCATTACATAATTTAAATTTATTTTCTAATTTGTGTTATAATTGTTATATATTATGTATTAATTATGATGTTAATATATTTAAATGTTGTTTGCATGGTAATATCATTGTATAAAGTTATTAAAACACTGTGATTTATGGTATGATAAATGACACATAGCGCGTGACCATTATTACGTCATTATATGGCCAGGAAAACAGAGCGCAGATAAACGTTTATCGTCGACCATGAATACATTAAAAAATAACTCGGTGCTTGAATAATTTTCTTTTATCATCATCGTAAGTATTGAAAAATATTCAACATTTATCATCAGTTTCCAAATCATTTTTTAATCCATTACATCATCATGTTTTATGTAAATGTAATGGCGACAACTCTCCGTCAAAACTGCCGTCTATACCATCAATGACGAATCAGCTATTTTAATTTAACCATGCTGTTGTCAGACTTATACAACATAGATAGGGCATGGTATTTATATTGTCTATAAATGATAGCACTATGCAGGCAAACCTATACCATACAGTGATAACACCAACTTTGTAAATGTGCAAAGCTCTATAAAAACAACATGTGCCAATTCGATGCTGGTATAATCTGCTTCCTCACTACGCTGCACCTTTAACTTAATGTGGAATATTCATTTTGTATTCCACGTAAATTGTGATGTAGATTTTTATATATGCTGAAATACTTTTAACTAAATCCTTATAAGCAAAAAGACTTGTTGCACTTTCCGTCAGATAGCACTGATGCATACGTAATGTTTTTTCAGATCTTTAGAGTTTGAAACATTGAATGGTGCTATTATCATTAACATTATAGATACTTAAGACTAATATCGAAAATATTTTCGTATTTGAATAAACACGGAAAAAACAAACATTATTATGTACATATCTGTGTAAGAATCTTATTAAAGATTTCCGTCCTCTCATATATATCATACACTGTATTGTCAGAATGCCGAATTCAGTATCAACGATACATTATGTTGAGAGAATGCTTAATCGTG